GGGAGAAAGACGAGGCTCTCTACTCCCAAGCAGAGTCACTGTCTCAGAGACCCGCGGGGTGGTGTGACCCCTTCCTCCAGGGTCGCCGTGAGTCAGCATCGACTCCGCACCTGGGAGTTTGTTTGTTCACTTGGGGTGGGGGGCTTACGTGTCTGTGGGGAGGAGTGGGGAGAGAAGGGTCCCTGAGGCGGACATGCAGGGAGGGCTGAAGGGGTGTGTGTTCAGCTGAGTGTCCACAGCAGCAGCAAACGGAATTGCTGTTCATGGTGTGCCCACGCGCTGGGGCAGGGCAGGGGGTTGGTATGCCTGGATGCCAACCAGAAGGCTGGAGGTCTGAGTCCAGCAGAGGGGCACAGGAAGAAAGGCCTGGTAACCTGCCTGTACTGACAACCCCGTGGGGCGCTGTCCTGCTCAAAGTGAACTTGGCGCCCAGTGGGTGGTGACACAAGGGGGCCTCACTAGTTCATGGGGATGGGGTTCAAAGGTGAGGGGCACCCCACCAGTTGTTTGCAGCTCTCCCTTTTGCCTACTACAATTACCGAGGGCAGCTGTCCGTGGGCTTCCCAGCAGTACCTGGCTGAGCCCTCCTCTGGCCATGCTGTGTCCCTAGCCTGGTCTTTTCAGAGGTGGACAGCCCCACGGCTTGTCCCCTCCTCCCTAAGTCTGAGCCGCCTCTAAGGCCCCTCACTCTGGGGCTGTGGCCAACAGGTCCCTGGTGTTGAGCAGGTGTGAGGGGGGCTTACAGGTGGCTTCAGACACATCTGTCCCAGAACTTCCCTCATGACCGAGCAGGCAGCAGGGGCTGGCTCTCTTGGCACCTTCTGTGCACACCAGCACCCCGGGCCGAACCAAGGAGCCCCTCCTTGTCCCCATTCAGCATTGAAGCTGGCATCTAAAGCCAAACCCACGACCACCCAGTCGCTGCCAACTCATGACGACGCCAGCCCCCCAAGCCAGCCTCCTCAGCAGTGCTCAGGATGCACACGTGGTGCCAGGTCTTTCTTCTGGAGCACAATCAGCTGGGTGAGTCTGCACCGCCAAGCCTCAGGTCCACAGTTGAGCACCGACTGTGCCTCCACAACAGCTAGAGGTTGATCCTGTAGCCGAGGCCACAGAACAGGGACGTGGCAGGGCAAGCACTGAGCCCGGGAGCCTGGCTGCATTCCCCCTGGGGTCCTGAGATCACGAAGTCCAAGTACAGACAGCCCGAGGGTGTCAGCCCACCCCTTTCACCAACAGGTGGGAAAACGGGGATTCGGGGACTGTGCACAGAGGTGGCCCCCACACTCCCCAGGATCCCCACCCTGCCACAGGACAGAGCTGTCCCACACAGCCCAGTCCTAGGCTTCCTGCCCGGCCCCGACCCACCCCGCCTAGAATGAAAATCTCCACAAGCCTAAGTAAATGAGTAGTCACAATGAGACAAGCACGTGGGGGTGGGGGTGGAGCAGTTAAAGGACTAGCGTCCTTTGCGAATAAATGTTTTTAATGTATTTCTAACAGACTTTTATTAACATCCCCAACCCCCACAACCAGGCACTGCAGATTTTTTAAAAAACTGGCAAAATAAAAGGAACAAATTATTCAAGCCCCAGGAGACCCTAGGCAATCAATTAAGATTCTAAATGACTCCCCTTCCCTTAGAACGGTCCTGCAGTGAGTGTGCATCCCGCCCCCAAGCCCCATGTGGCTCTGGTTCTGAAAGCAGGCATTCACACAGGATGCCAGGTCCACACAGTGAGGAGGCACTGTGAGGTTGGGGGCCTGGCCTTCCTTAAGGTGGAATTCCCATGGTCCTCTTCAGGTCTGGGCAGCCTCTGCCCCAGCACCTGAACGGCTATGCCCATTCTCTGAGGATGCTGGGCACCCAGGAGCATCAAAGCAGAGACCAAGGACACCAGCATCAGGTCCAAGAGGGTCTGGCCCCTGGTCCTAGCTCCTCTGGGCCCAAGCTCCTCCTCCTGCACTGCCTAGCTTCCACTCCAGCCCACCAATGCACGCCCCCCACACACACACACACCCCACCACCACCTACACACACAGCAGCCATAAGGGTCTCCTGAAAGGGTAAGAGGGTCCAGAGTTGAGTCAGCTTGCAATACTACAGTGAGGAGCTCTCCATTAAGCCCAGAATAAATCCCACACA